ATGATAGAGTGATTATCATATAAAAGTTAATGTTTATACATACCTTTCAGTTGGAAAGTTATTGTTTTCTGAGTAGAGACATGGATGGAGGTAACTATTTTCTAGTGAACTATAAGAATGTACCTATTTTACGTCGAGCTATCACTTTTTAAAAAAGAAATCCTGTCTTAATAGCCATACTATTTCATGAAAAACATTTCTGGTATTTTTGTCATTAACTTGAGGCAAAAAATACTTCTCTCTGTAAATGCAAGATGTCAAAGATACTTAAATAGATGACCTTAGAAACATTTTTGTAAAATGGAAATAACATTACAAGGATGCAGGGAGCTTAGTGTACATATGTTTCAGGTTCTAGAAAGTGAATGAACTCTGGTAGAAGTATAAATTTTTTTAACCTAGGGAAAAAATTTCTCTGATTTTTACTGTCTTTTGATATGTGCTACACTAAGTTGATTAATACAGGGAAGTATAAATTGTTAGTGAAAAATTCCACATTCTGGTACATACATGTTTACTTATAAGGACTGCCAGAGAAATTTAAATTACATATAAACTTCTCTGTTTTTTTTGTTTTGTTTTTCTCCGGTACCGGGAACCGAACTCACGACCTTGCACTTGCCAGGCAGGCGCTTTTGCCGCTGAGCTAAATCCCCAGCCCCTAAATTACATATAAACTAAAAAGTGACCACATATTGAATGCTCTGGAAAATTTGTCTCAAAAAATTCAAGATTGTTTTTAATAGGTGCAAAAGGACCTGGTACTTTCAGGTTGATAGGAGGCTATGGGCTCACTGCACTTAGTGTACAAGAAATGTGTTTCATATTTCTCCACATCAGACATTTTTATATTCTATGTGTGGTACACACGTGACTATGAAATGTTTCAACACTATCCTTAATTCTTAAAATCATGGTACAATTTTCACAGGTGTTTTCCAAAAAAGCTCCTATATGACATTAAAGACCAATGTTACTGATTCACTCACACTAGACCTTTGTGTAGAAAAGCAGAGGTTTATTGGCTGCATATTTACCCTTGGTTTCATATTAATTACTTCAAATACTTACTATGTGCTGATCAGTTCTCCAAATTATGGCACTGAATATAAATTTACTTTAAAGTATGGTAAATGTGAGTTCTCAGCCAAACTATTAAATTATAGAAATATAGAAATCAGCTAAATTATATTCAAAACTGTTTGAATTATTTCATATACATGGAAAGTAGAGAGTTATAATATTTTTAAAAGTTTTCTATCAACATCCTGAATTGTTCTATAAAATATATCTATAAACCCTTAAAATTCACACACAAATACATACACTGGATCACACATTTAATAAATCCTAGTAATATATCAGCAAAACATATGTTGTAATTGCATTAATTTGGTTGGAAAACTAAATATGAATATGAGCCTCCAAAATTACTCTCACATTTCAAAATTTTCTATGCATGAAAATATTTTTTTCCTTCCCCATTTCAGGCTAAAGATTTGTGATTCAACTTTAGTGGCTTTGTTTGAAAACCTCAAAGCAAATATTGACAATGAACATTTCAATACTCCCCTGTAAGCACTGATAAATGTCAGTAGTCAAGGAGAAGAAGAGTGTCATTTTGAAATATTTCTATTAGAATGCTCTCATTTTATAGAGTATGGGGTTCTTATTAGGGAAAATGTCTAAATAATCAGATTATATTGGAAGGGGACATAAAGGTAAAATTTGTGCTTAACCTTTCATAGTGAAATTTTAGTTTATTGGCTAATTTTGTCTATGTATGTGAAAAGAAATTATAAAATAATTTGATAGAGGTCTTTCTACGACAAGCCTTAATTTCCCATAATTTTTATGGAGTTATATATCTCATAATAAATAATTTTAATTTTTAATTACATTTGAGAAAAGTAGATGGGCAATATTGATAATAGTAATTATTCCATATTTATTGATTCTTTGGTAGAGTGGATATTACAATTCAGTGCACTATCTGTATAATGATATTGAAGTCTGCAATAAGAAAAGTAATACAAAATGTGTTTTAAGCCAAAAGGTGGTCACTTGGAAAGGATTATGATAATCTAATCTAGTACAACAAGCATTAGGCAATTAATTCCTCAGAATCATCGATTGAAAATAATTAACCCAAATTTCTCAAATGTCCTTTACTTTCCCATTCACTGTGTGAGTAATGCATCATTTATTAAAGACCAGATTCTAAGTATGTTTTCATATTGGGTTTTACTATGAAGATACTACTACTAGCTAAACTTTAACAACTAAAAGATAGGAAGGGATTAATATTTAACCTTCTACATTTCAGACCAAAACATTCAAAGTCTTCTGAAAGTAGATATCATAGATGTTAAAGGGATTTGTTTTCTTATTCATATCAATATTTAATAGTAGAGGAGGAAATGTTAAGAGCCTTTTGAATGGCTAATTTTACAAGTATGATTCATATGATGAAGAGAAACAGAGAATTTACCTGAAATGGGAGGCATTTTAATTAACTGCCTGAAATAATTTAAGTGACTTTGATTACTTGCACATATCCTATAGATGTTTGTGAATCCAAGTACAAGACTGTACAAAGCAGTGATCAGTGAACTCAGTATGCTATATAATCATGAATGTCAGAAAAAGAGGGGATAATAAATTTAGGTGTTCTGCAAGGAAAACCAAAGAAACTCAATGATTTCTAACACATAAAATGAAAATATACTATATAGCAATAAAAGTGAAATGAATTCTTGGCAAAGACAAGATACTAAAATATTTCTAACTTTCTTCAACATTTAACCTTGTTATTTATGAGATTTTTGAGTGCTCTTCTAAGTTATTTTTCAAAAATAGATAATACCTGATGTTATATACTTACTGTGTATATATAACACTGTTAATAGAGATGCAAATTGATACTTGTTAAACCCAATTTCATTATGAATAATTTTCATATAAATTGATATTCCATGTTTTTATATTATGTTTTGCTAGTATAAATCTCCAAATAAGTTATTGTTTTTCTCAACACATCAGAATACCTTGTGATTTATGGGTGAATGAGAGAAAATAAACCTAAAGAACTACATTTATATTAAATTTTTACAACCTAAAAAATGTCTTGCCAAATCTGTTGTACTTAAAACTATCAACATAAACATACTTCTTTATATTATAGACTTTAACAGATTCCTGATCCCATTCTTTCACTGGAATCTTACTCTACATTTTACCATGGTACACTGTAAACTGTATTCCATAACAGACAAGCAATATGCTTTTACAGGACATCTAATTTCCCTACTGTAATTAGTACAGGGAAGGACATACAATCAATTGCTAAGAAGGATTTCTGGGGGAAGCTGATAATGGTAATAATCACTGCACCAATAATAACGAGTATCACAAGCAACACCACCAATGTTTGAACATTTATGTGTTCAGAGTTTATGGATACTGCAGTAAATAACCAAAATTAGTAGGGGAGAACATATTTTTAAACCCTTTTGTTGAATAAAAACAAAGACTCCAGAAAGATTATGCTAGTCTTCGCAATAGATATGTAGAAACATTGCGTTTGGACCTTGGTATAACTGTCTCAAAGATGCTTGCTTTTGAGCTGTTACATTATGTAATAATTTTGAAAAACATTGGACACTTCTTAATGATTTTCCCCCAAAGTATATTTGGGATTGGAATGACCATCATTTTAATCTAAATGGTGTATTATTTTCACATGGAAATGATTCTGATGATTATTTTCCTGATGGCATCATTTATAACAGAAATATCCTTGCAGGGAATGAAGCTATGAGCTGTCTTGCTCACTGACCTTGTTCTGTGATGGCCCATGCCACTCAGTGCTTCTGGGAAGCAGGCTGCCCAAATGCCTTCCAATTATATTTCACTTTCCCTCAATCCAGTTCTCCACTTTACAGTTGACATCATAAAAGAACCCCTATCCCTTCCCTCTGTCTCTACTTTTTTCACAAGCAGAAAATGCAAGTCTAGAAAATTTAAGGCTAATAACTTCATGGATTCTTCTCTTCCTGTAAAAATTAGAGATGAATCAAGACTGCACAACATTTGCTTTTATTTTGCATTATTTTATATTAATTAAACAACACTAACCTCAAAGTGTGGCATGACAATTTCAATTGCAAGGTTGTTAAACAGATTCAAAGAAAAAAAGTTGTCGCTAATTGGGCACGAATTTTGGACAAATTACAGCAGTTATACATTCATCACCACCTTTCCACAGGCACATTCTTCACCACCATACTGTCCAGGACAAAGTTCTAGCACATATCTGAATGCTTTTGCAACCTAGGCACAAGATTTAAATGACAATATGTAGTTCATAGGAAGAAACCAGTGAACCATAAAAATGTAAACTGTAAAATGAGAACAAGTTCTCTGCAAAAAGTTACCTTTTTAGATATGATTTCATTCTACCCTTCAAATACATTTTTTCTGAGCTCAAATTTGTAATTTCATTTATTATTTTTTGGTACTGGGAGTTGAACTCAAGACTTTGCACTTGCAAGGAAGGCACTGTGCCACTGAGCTGTATCCCTGGCCCTGTAATTTTAAAATTAGAGTTAACTGGAAAATAGTATTTGATAGATACAGTAAACAATGCACTGAAATTTGCTGAATCATATCTATACCATAAGCAAACAAAATAAAACAGAAAGAAATATTAATTATACAGATTGCCTTTATTTCAACTTCCTTCATATTTATTAATAAATTTGTTACAATCAGAAGTCATATTTCAAAGCATTATGAAGCACAGAGCTAAAAACATCTTTCTGGAGTAATTTAGGATAATTTATCCCCAGCAAATCCTGAAAAAATCTGGATTTGCTAAAGTTAAGGTTATAGATATATGCGTTTATCCTGTTAGACCATGCAGTTTTTCATAATACCTGTAAACATATAATTTCTATCATTTTCTCAAAGTGTAATCAACGTTTTTATTGTTTTTGTAGGTTTGGAATCATGCTTCTGCTAAGTATTAACCTTTCAGCACAGAAGCTTTGAGAATGGATTACCTGGGAAACTGTTTTTCTATTCCTATGTGTGACAGCTGAGTTCAGCTGTTTTTCTAAGCATCTCTGGAACAGCTGAGCACTTTCTCCTGGTCTCAGATTTGAATCTAAGGCAACTTGAAGCAACAAAGTAACATTGGAATGCATCTGATCAAGGAATTCACCTCATCTGCTACAGCTTGGAGTTTCGATCTTTGTGGTATAGTTGTCTGTGAAGTCATCTTCTATAACTTGTATCCTTTCTACATGTGTGCATATATTAACACAACTACCTCCACAACACATGGACTATGAGAGGCTCAATGTAAAACAAAATACAAAACAGGCAAGCTCTAAGCTGAAGTTGCAGTCTGAGAAACTTAACTAACTGTAAAGCCTTATTTATCACCTGTTACCGGTACTCATCCTCAGACAGCAGGTATTAGCGATCTGGAAAAATGGAATCAAACAAAAGTGCTTTTATTCACTGGTAAAAATAAAATGACTCGTGTCAGCTACTGAAGGAGCTCATCTTCTGCCATCAGTTGAAATCACTTCTATGAAAGAATCTAATATTGACCAAATGAGGAAAACACGAGAATAGTATAACACTGTATGTAAGACCAGGGTTGCTGAAATGATAATGGCACCCTCTGTACATCCTGTACTTATGAAGGCCATTTAATAAAACTAGAGTATCACTGAATCACTGCTCTTTAACTATTCAAGGTTTTCAGCTTAAATATGCCTTATTTTACTGAAATAGATTATGTAATCAAATTTTATTTTATTTGTTATTTCCTTGTTACAACTATTAAGTCTTTCTGCACCTGTCTTGTATTAAAAAATAATAGTTTATCCTGCTATTCCTCATTGTGTTTTCAATTCATTGTCCACTGAAATTACAGTTTACCTCAACTTTATAACTTTCAAGGAATTGGTGATAAATAATATTTTTTCAAAAATACCTAACCACAAATAATTTGGACATGAAACACTATCCATATCTATCTATCTGTCTATATCTTCTTTTCCACAAAAAGGCACACACCTGTAATCCAAGCACTCTGAGAGGCTGAGGAAGAAGGATCACAAGTTTGAGCTAAGATTGGACAATTTAGTGACTTAAGCAAGATTCTGTCTGAAAAAAACAAACAAATAAATGATTGCAATGTAGCTCGGTGTGAAGGCCCAGCATTTAATCCTCTGTTTGAAAAAAAGCAAAAAAAAAAAAAAAAAAAAAAAGAGAGACAAAGAGGAAAGAAAAAGAAATGTACTGGAATTTCACTGTTGATATATTGCACATTTTAAAAACAGAATAATGTAAAGCAATCATCGCTGGCTTTATGACTTTTGCTAAAACAATGCAGACTCTGCTCTTCTACCACAACTTGTAGGTCAGCTGATTATAGAAAAGAGGACGCACTCTGCAAGGAGGGTAGTGATAGTTGTGGGTTATGACATCGGGTTCTACTTTGTTATCTTTATGGACGCCCATCATGCTTTCTATGATTGGGCCCGGCCACTCCGTGCTGCTCTGCGGCAAATCCTATCAGCTCCTCCTGTTTCTCAGTTGTCTGTACTGCTGTGTAGGCATCAGGCTATGTTTAAAGTATCTGGATTTTAATTTTCGCCTGAAGATGACTTATTGCGTTCATTTTAGTTCACCATAAATCTATTATTTTTGGATATCAGTCTCATTATCTAATTATATTTGCAAGAAGATATTTTTACTGCCTGAAAAAGGAGCCAACAATAGTAAAACCACTTGTTTTGTAACAGTTTATTGAAGATTAAGTATTTTGTCATCATAAAAGGTATTTCTAAAATTCACAAAATTTAGCTGCAAAGACAGGAAGAGAAAAAGCATGAAGAGAGAGACAGATTCTTTTTAATTTAAAAAATTAATAAGCCTGTTTAAATGGCTTGTAGATTTTCAAAACTGATGTTCTGAAGGAAAGGGAATAAACTATTTTGCAGTTTTAAGCTTTTGGGAAATTATGCAGATTAGGATATTGTTATTACAATTGCAAAGATGAAACATGAAATTAGAGAACACCAATGGCAGCTAAGTTTTCTAAAGCTTTGAAAATGTATTATAAATGACCTCGGGGCATCTGTGGAGGTCTCTTCCTAAATAATTCTAGTATTTCAAAAGTTTCTGTAAGTAACACTTGACCTGTGGTGGGTGACAGAAGAAAGCGAGCAGCAGGTGGTTAAAGAAAACCATAGAGAGTTCATTCCAGATAGTGTGATGAAATGTTGAAAAGAAAATATCAGACAAGAAATGCACAGAAGCGTATTTATAGAGTGGTACTTTGCCCGAAGGACAAAGGTTTTGGAAATATTAAAGGAAGTGTTTGGTGGCATATTAGTTGTAGGTTACATATATGAACAGGAGTGTTCAAACAGGTGTTTTGGCCACTGCAGATTGTTTTTGGAAGGACATTTGCAGATCTTGCATTCTTATATCTGGTAATCTGAGCAAGTTCATTGAAGATAACAATGAGTAATATAACAACCACTGTTAATTCCTATCATTTTGTTTCAAAAACTTGTATCACTTTTACTGTTTTTGTTTTGTTTTGTTTTTGTCTGTGTTGCTGGTATTTTGTCATTACTTTTTTTATTCTCTTTAAAATTAAGAGCCAATAAGTTTGCAAATTTAAGGGCAAGAATAAAGTTCACATTTGGAACATTTGCATGAAGGACTTGGGTATTTCTTGAGTAAACTAGTTTTATAAAGGGATCCAGCAGTTTTATTTCTGGACATTTAGTGCCTTTTTTTAACCTACAGTTTGGCAATTTCATCTGAAAGTTGATTAGAAGGTAGAAACACAATTACCAACATATTTCATAATTGGGACAGAGAAGACTATTCAGAAGACTATTCATGTAACCCTCCTGAGTAGCAATAAATGGATACTAGAAATACATTTGGGGGCCTTGCATCCCTGAAAATATTGTAAATAACTTTATTTCCTAATAATATCATGATATTCTGCCTAAACAAACTTAGGGAAAAAAAACCAAAGGATATAAATTTTTAATACTTATTATTCTGTGTCCTGATCCCATGAACCTGACTAGATCTGCCCTCCTTAGGGAATTGTCCCAATTCATTATTGCATGCTTTATTTCATTAAGATAATAATTTTATGATCCTTCCTAACCTAGACTGTTATTTAACTGATGATATGCTAGTAAGCATGAACACTTTCCCTAGAAGATTCTACTACTGGAATTTTATTTTTGCTTACTCATTAAAAATGTTAATATTTCCTCATTCATAAGTATTTTGCAAAGTAATAAAGTATTTATTATGTTAGTTTTAGTGTTTATTATTTACTTTGACGATTGAGAAAGCTGTAGATATGCATATTTTTATAAACAAAAATGAAAATATTAAACGATTTAATACTTCTCTCTTAAATATATTTTATTTTCCTTGCCATTTTGTGGTTGGAGTTCTAGAATTAGACTTTTCTTCTTCTACTTCTGTTTACAAAATTATTTGGTATTTTAACGTAAAGACTCTAATCTATGTATACCCCATTCCATGGCCCAGTCATTCACTAGATGATATAGCTACCTTAAAGAAAAATTAATATTTTTGTCTTTTGAAAATTGGAAAAACCTCACAACATACTTAAAAACTAAGTATTAGAGTTTATATACATTCACCATATTGAATAAAAATCCATATAGTTTTGGTACATATTCTCTTAATTGAATTTTCCTTTATCTATTATTCAGTCAATAAATATTCATTGAATAACTGTATTGTCTAGGATATATTTTATTGGTGATGAGGAAAGAAATAATAGGAGAGATAAATGTTATGGCTTCATGGAGTTTAGAGTCCACTGGTGGAGAAATAAACATATAAATAGATCTATGCTATAAAGTTAGGTGCTGATGAGTGTTATAAAATAAAATTAGACTGAGAGATAATTTGGGGTGTTTAAGAAAGACTTTATGATTTCTTGGATTTTGAACCCTAATATATATAAATCTGAACAGCTTGTCCTTCTCCACCAAATGTTGTATTTTAAATGTTTTCCCATACCATTATTTTTAAACACCACTTTTAATATTTAAAAGTGTTTAAATTTTATAAGATACACCATATTTACTGGTTTCTTTCTATATTTTTTTCTATTTTATACTTTCCTTTTTTTGTGAGTTTTTTTTTTTTTTTCTGGTATCTGGAATTGAACTCACAACCTAGCACTTGCCAGGCAGGCGCTGTGCTGCTGAGCTAAATCCCCAGCCCCTGTACTTCCCTTTTTGCTATGACTATTGCTTTGATGCCTATATTTACAGAAATATTCTTTCTAGAGTAAGATGATTTTCTATAATTTATTTAGTCCAAGAGAATTTACTTAAATAATACACTAATTTATATTTTCTCATGTAGCTTGTATTTTGGACTGGTTCAGTCATTCAAGAAAATATTCTACAAGTTTCTGTGCCAGGCACTCTGCAGTGCAAATGAGAGATATTCTCTTGAAGCTCACAATTTCAAGGAACAAACAAAAGTATAAGTAGATGTAAAAGTTGGACATATATTTTAATAAACTATAACTTCTAATTTCTGAAAGTATATATACAGTTGAAAAGTTTAAGTATACTACAATGTCTCAAACACAGAAATGCAGTCTATTTTGAAGTGGGGAGATATCTTTAATCCTCTCTGGCCTTTTTTAGGATTTCAGAAGTCCATGAATAGCATACAAGAAAAACTGTAGAAAGTCTCTGATATATGTAACACAGGATGAAAATTACTTAAACATTCAAATCTACATCAAGAACCATTACTTGTAGTTTTTTTGAAAATTAAACATTCTTATTGAAATTTCTTACCTTGACATTTGTAACGGCCTTGTACAATCTAATAAATAACTATCAATTTGCTAGAAAATTGAACATTCATTGAAATTTATTTTGTAAGTTCCCCCCAAAAGATATCTGAAGTTGAATTTTAAGCTTTCCATCACAACTTGCTTATTGTTGAGTGAACTATACTGTATCCAGAGAACTTGTTGGGACGTTCTCAGTGGATTGCCACAGCTCTTCCCCCAGTGTGAGAATTTCACATGAGAGTCTTTTGATTACTCATTGTTATTTCTGAGATGGTGATTTGAAAGAGTACATGTTGCTGTATTACTTCTTATTATATTGCTTCTGGACATTACAGACCACCACAGTTGCCCTAATATAGGATATTTTACACTTCAGTTGCCTCTTGGAGAGAAAAACAACTTAAAAACAGAAATTTGTTGACATTAAGAACAACTAGCTAATCACACATCCTTATTTTTCCTGTTCTACCTCAACCTTAACTTTTTTCAAGCATTATTTACTTAAAAATACTTTTATTAAAGTTTGGGAATTCCCAAACATATTGCATGTAGCTTCCTAAAGACATTGATTTATTTTTAAGGAAAGGAAAAATGCTAGGAGTTCTTTCCTCAAAGTTAAGTCTTGACTGACCGAAACTGACTCTTTGGAGCTTGCTCTCCAAGGCTGAGTGAGGAACAGAGGCATGGGTTTGCCATAGTTACATTGTTCTTTGGGAGAAAATTTGTGCATAGAATAATACTGAATTAAAGTCGAAGTATTGCATTACAGAGCCATGTCTATACACAGCTAACTGTTGAATGCTTCTGAGTAAGACATTTGCCTTTTGGTGAGTCAGCTTTC